CCCCAAAACCCCAAAACCCCAAAACCCCAAAACCCCACTTGATTTATTTAAGTGATTATTTCTGATATTACTTAATTCCAATGAATAAATCATTAATTAATTTACTTATTAAGGTTATTTACAACTTTCAAACTATCTTAATTACTCACACATAATAGACCTTGATTTAATTTGATCATTTGAAAATATCTAACTTTCTTAAATTCTGCTGATTTTCAACTATTTCTAATCTATTTATGAATCCTGTTTTCTTGTTATATGAACCCTTAAATCCAATAATACCATTGTCTGACTACACTATATATACATCTTTTGAGCTGTCACTCTTTGCTATCTTGCAGTAATTAACATCATTTGGACTAATCAGCATTTATCTGTGGCTCGTTTGCAGTCTAACTTAAGTGATCATCTAATTATCATAAGTAAATGCTATTTCACTTATGATTTCTTCTTCTTCTAGTTCATTTTCTCTCATTGTGTTAAGATGGATGGAATGCTCTTGAACTTCATTGTAGTCTTTGAGACTAATAATCTTAAATTATTAGCCAACACTTTAAGAGCCACTTACCACGGTCATTTTAATTCCAATCAATCCCATTTAAGTATCTTCCTAATCCGTCATCATCATCTCATAAACATTATCCAATACCTCATGCTCGTTTACAGTTCCAAATAGAAATCCAATCTTTAGTACTCTTATATGTTTTCTTCTCATGCTTCGCTTGTTGAATTTACTCAAAGAGTCGAATTTTTATTCATACTTGTTGAAGAGCTGTGTAGATGGTAATTAGAGAACTTTGCGTGACTTCTGAGGGAATTTCGATAATCTAAGAGTACTTCTGTCCACCATGGATTCGAAGTTTTAAGTACACATTTTGTGGATTTAGTTTCCCATTGAAGGTTTTTGTTGATTGAGATGATGAATAAGGTTAGGTTTAATTGCAATTAAGCTATATATTATTACTTTAATTAAAATCAAATATTTAAGAGAGAGTACTGAATAATTAAAAAGGCATAAAAGTATTAAAGAGTTTGAATAATTTAAAAATATGAATTAACAATGAAGATTTAATAATTCAGACCTGAAACTCACAAATTTTATATAAAAGAGCAAAAATATTGTTGGGGAAGGGTAATGAGGGCATGTTACTTGATCTATCTTGATTTAGGTGATACACATCCTTAAGTCTATCTAACTATCTATATATTCTCTTAAGATTTGCTTCAAGTAACATGATTCCTGTGTCTATAGTTCTATAATCCTACCTTTAACTAAGATATAATGGAATAGGACTAAATTTATGAATAAATCAAATTAAAAATCCTTACTCTTGCTTTGAATTTAAGATAATGGATCTATGCCCATTAAAAATCATGGGATTTTTAGCAGGTACTCCTAAACACACTGATAAATGTATAATGAGCTAAACTATTTAACCAAGTGAGACACTCAACTTTATTTCATATTTCTAAGAATCCAAATACTTATTTCTAAGCAGAGTGTTTGTTGAGAAATATTTGATGCCTCCATAAAGCTTCATAGCCTCGGGAATAAAAAATATCTGGAATAGTTCGAATAAACACTTTGTCTATCTTTAAAGGTATATCACTTTACACAGATCAGAATTCAAACTATACACAGATTTAATGAGAATAAGAAGAAATTTTACAATTTCTGCTGAGAACTTTTTGTATCATCTATTAATTTAATCTTAAAAGCTTTAAATACTTCTTGATAGTATTTCCCTTCACTTAGTTTATCGCTTGCAAATTTATCTATTTTCTTAAGATTATTCTTGATATCATTAGCTTGTCTTTGCTTCTACTCAATTGCCTATTGTTTTTCAAAAATCAGCATTTTTAGTCTTTTAATGCGATCTTCTCTACCTTATTTGCAGGCGGTTAACTTTTGCATTTTCTCTTGTAGCTCAGCTTGCAAGTTCTTGTTCTACTCATTCAGAGATTCTGATTTGCAGATGTTTACCATCAATTTGTTATATTTAGCTGTGAACGCAAGAGTTGGAATCTACTGATCATTTTCCTTTCTCTTATAATACGGAGCTCTTATTTCTTGTATACTGAGGTTGATCAAATTCTAAAATAAGTTCAATTTAAATCTTAATTCTATACCGTTTCTTGGAGCTTGTGAAAGAGGGCATTAGTTGTGAAGAATAAGTTATTGAATTTAAAGACTACTAGCTCAAAATCGTATTCCTTTACTTAGCTCATCTATAAAAGCATTCAAAATGTCTTTATTTACATCTCTTGCAATCAGCTCTATGGTAGAAAAATTAACATGAAAATCAACTTTGAAGTTAGGATCTCCTTCAGCTCTGAGCTTGATCAAAATATCAACTATACATATTCACTTGAAGAATTTCTTAAATTGATTACAAGTAGAAAAGCCATCAAACTTATCTAGAAAAGCCTCCTCCTACTCATCCATTTCAAAGTTAGGACTCTAAACAATTTTAACTTTGATTATATTTTACTATGCAAAGATTAGTAGCCTTAGATCTGAAACTAGTGGGGTCATCACAGTATAAGGGTTCTATTTCTATGTAGAAATTTCTATTCAGAGCTGAAACATTCCTAAATCTGATAGAGTTAATCTTGTTAAGTCTATATCTAAATGGAATCATTTATTTATTTTATAATCTTATTATTGTTATTTTCAAGCATGATTAATCTGATTCGGGGTTTTGGGGTTTTGGGGTTTTGGGG